AATGATGACAACAATGAACCATGCTTGCATATTGCATGTTAAAACAGCTAACCATAGTCTCCATCAGAAGCATGTGTGACAGGGTAACAATTTTGTACATAGTCCCTTAGTTTGTGTGTTTTCCATTTCTGCTCACAATTTTCCTTTCTTGCTATTGGGCTTTTTAGATTTACAATAAAGTTGGTCTCAGAGCAAAAGGAGTTCTATCTATAATGTCAGTTTGATCAAACCCTTGTAAAACTTCTTCACCTGACACGAACAGGGCATGTCAGGCAATCTCTATATAGGCTTGTGTGGTTTGTACATTGTAAATTGAAAATTGCAGGGAAGTGTCCATATCTCCTCTGGGATGTGCTAACATTCAGCCCTAACCTTAAGCAACTGTTCTCACAACACAATGACAGAAGGGCTGCATTGCCTTCATGTATGGGTAGCTTTCTGGGACATTAGACTGGGCAGGAGGTTAAGTGAAGATGCTCTGACCAAAGTACACTGTAGAGTGAATAAAGATAACAATTCATTTGAATACTGCTAAATACATAATAAACATAGATCACTTTATATTGTTCACTTCCACTACATGGTTACAATCCAGCAATGACAGCCATGTGGAGCTTCCATAGTAATCCATGTTTTTAATTTACTGTACACAATTTCTTCCAATTTCATCCTTTGATGCAGCCAACTTCCCCTCCATTCTCTGATTGGGAAACATTTTGATTAATTCCATTGATTCACAATTCCCAGCTTCTTCTACTTATATGCTTAATTTACATCAGAAACCAGTAGCATGACCGCTGCTTCAATTATCATCTCTCACATTTCATGTTTGCTGGGGAATTTGCAGTAGATTCAATACCCTCTGCTTTACATTTATTTCGGGTTCTAGCATCAGCTTTTCAGTCTTCATTTTTCATAGTACCCTTGTAAGTTAATTTTCCTGCCTATATTGTGGCACTTCACCAGGTATGAAGAACTTGAAGAATCTATGAATAAGCTACACTTGAAAATGACTTTTGAAAGTTTTTTTCATATTTGAATTGTGTAATTTCCCAATCAGCTTACTGTAAGTTTTTCTAACAAGCTTAATAAGCAAGCATGTCTGTTTTCAGAGCTACATCTTAACAAAGAAACTACTGGCATGTGGGTCCATGTTGTTCATTTCAGAATATACCTCTTATAGATCTTTAAACTCAGTGTAGCAACTAGCAATGCCACCTCCTTCCTACAACAAACCGTAAGGTACTACACATGCTCTTGCCTCCTTCATAGGTCAGACAGTGAAGCGTTAAATAAAAGGAATGTCCTTAAATGTGGTCCAGGCTCTAAGTCAAGGGCTGTTACTATGAAAAAAATGTGCTATTTTTTTAACACATAATGGATATTAGCAGATTTTATATATGTACAGATATTCCTCTGGAGACTTCACCAGAAGGTGCAGAACATAAAAATGCATCATCACCTGTCCTCTAGTAGATTCTGTATGGGAACAAATGGAGCATACACTTAGAGCAGGCACAGTGGAAGGTCATTAGACAAGCTTTTTTCGGTAATGGAATACCAGGGCTATGGGAGATCCCTGTCAGGCCTCAAGCAGCATTAAAGGTCCAATGGGAAATTTACCATGTCCTACTCCTTTTTTTTAGATATTTAGATTATGTTTGTAAAAGTAGTAAGAGAGGACTTAAAGGTGATTCTATCATGAGAAAAGTAAATGGGCTGACAATGCTGGCCCTCTTTTGCTTGTTGTCTGGTTGGATGTGGTTTTAATATTTTGGAGTCAAAGACCCAGAACATGCCTGCTATAAATGAGTGTCAGAAAACCTTATTTTTATTTATTGTTTTCGGGTAAGAGGTTTCTCATGACAGAGTCACATTACCAGGCACTTATACCTAATTTTAACAACCAATAATATGCATATGGTTTTAGCTAAATTGTTGTGCTTCGCTGACCAATCAAGACCCTTATTGTAGACATTTTATTCCTCCAAAAGGGATAGACTACAGTATGTAAAATAACACATTTGATCAAGGCTATATACAAATTCACAATGTCAGACAGAGTCCATGGTTTTCCACAGCTTTTAGTCTGCAGCCACCTTGTCTTTCAGGGAAAACCCTACTTTCTCACATATTACCCCAGACTACAACACCTAGGATGTCCACAGCTGGATTTATACCTCCTGTTTTCTCAAGGCAAATTGTGTTGTGGTGCTCTGCCAGTCGAAGGTGTTGTACAACTCCATCATTTATACAGCCTCTATTATACCACCATTATCATGTTTATACCACATTTTCCAAAACAATGCTGGGTTTCCTTCTACCTTTTTTTTTTTTGCAGAAAATTGTTGGCTTATACACTAATCCACTATGGCATTGCTAACCATTGCTTACCAGGATATGGAAGCTGTTGAAATGTTTAAAGATTAAGTTAGCTTTCCTTTTACCAAATGAAGCGAGCAACTCCAATTAGGCACCAACACTGACCAGATGGACCCGCCAACCTAAGTGAGTGCCTATGTGACCTATACTGAAATATATACAATATAGTCACTTGTATAGCAAATGTATTTTATAATAGCATTTTTTTCTATGAGTTTGAAAAACATGTCTGTGTACATAACAACGGCATTAGTCCTGTAGTTAAACTATAGTTCTAATCCTGAGTGAGAGAACATGTTTGGGACATTACAGGTATACTCGCAGTCCAGCCTGTGCTCACAGGTATCAAGTTTGTTTCCAGTTAATGAATTCCACTTGGGTGAGATATTACACTTTTCAGGGCACAAAAGGTCACAGGGTCAAAATATGGTGTGCCGCATACAATCATCCAGTGACAGCAGAGGTTACTGAGTGATTCTTATCTACTGTCTATCATCACCCAGCACGCATTACATCATACATTACATAAAACACTTCACACAGGAAAATAGACTTGAGAATCTAGCATTTACAATAAGCTTGGTGTGTTTTTGACATTTCACAGCATTAAAGTAAATCTGTAGAAAAGTAAATTTTATCAAACACCCATCTTCCTGCATGTCCTAGGAACCCCTGAACCTGGAACACTCAATATACAAATGGCAGCCTCTAGCTTTGCAGTTAGATATTTGGCCCAGTATCCTGCAATGGAATGCACACTCCACTCCTGCTTCTCTAACAGACACAAAAATAAGAACTGTAAACAATATTTACAATATGTTAAAAATAGATTGAAAATAGACTACTTATTGCATCAACTTTAGCAGCAGTGGAAAGATTGTTATCACTTAACGTAATACCAATAAATGATTCTAGATTGGATTTTGGCTATGCCGTGACTACTTGTTAGAACCACTGGTATATTGCCACTACACCATTCCTGAGTTTGATTAGTGTCCTGCTCTGACACAAATATAAGAAACGTTAGTTACTTTACTCATCGAAATCCCAAAAACATTTACAATATATCAGATTATAAGCACAAAACAAATACTTGGCATTTTCACGAGAACTACCAAGGTCACAGTGGTTACTATATGCAGTATATCAATATATCAGTATATCAAATCATACATTAAAACAGGGATGCACGAATCCCAGTAGCCCTGTAACCAATGTTCCTTAAAAAATGATGGCTACCTGCTAACTTTTGAGTTTTTCTCTAGTCTAGTCTAGGAGCTGGGAAAGTATCTGTACTTGTACTTGTACCAAGTATGGTACTTGGTGTCTGAACATCCCTAATTTTCATTTATTTCAAGCCTATTCCAAGGGTACATAAAAAATGTGAATGGACCAATATGCCCCCAGAGCCTCAGGGTTATATAGCAATTTCAAAAACTAACCAGTATAAGGCCCCACACCAGAATGCTGGGTGAGTGCACTGATGACAAAGAAGTAGGGTGCAGTGTCTATTTCTTTACCGTAGGCAATCAGAATAAAAAACGTTAATGACAGTAGTAGAGAGAAGTCTGACCCTGGTTGGTTGTTGTGAAGTATTACATATGGCTCCTATTTGACGTCAATACATGAAACCTCTTGGCAGATTTATAATGGTTTCTTATAAGACTCTCATGTACAAGAAGTAGAAATCTTAAGCTGTTGCCTATGACAACAGATTTAATCTTTTGTTCACTTTGACAATTAACAGGGAGTATGTATATTTGTTATGATAAACTGTTTAAATGATCTTAATTCCAATTTCCCTACACAAGCTTCAAGGTGCAACTCTTCTCTCAAGAGGAAACCCCCAGATGCCCCTATGTAAGCATCAGGACTAGGAAAAACTGGCAGTGTGCTTGGTTTTCATTCAAACCACATATTCTGGGACTGTCTGACTACTTTGCATGTGTTTTAGGATGAAAGCTAAGCTAAAAATAATAGGTAAACAGTATGAAAAGAAAAGAGTAATGTATCAACTGACCAAGGGAATGTTTATTTTACAGAGAACTAATCCTAGTTTACATGTCATGAGAACCAAAGGCTTGGACCATATTTTAGGATGTAGCCTGTTCCATGGGTTTTCTTGTATTCCAAGATAACTGTAATTAGTTTATTAAAATCTTTGTTACCTTCAATCTGCTGTGGTCTTGATAAAAGGTATTAAGAACTAGGAATATTAGGCTAAAATTTAGATTTGTGTGTCTCGCAAGGCTCTTGCACACCAAAGCTTCAGATCTTGTCTCAAGTGTTTTTGTTGTTATAATGAAATGCAGCCAATGCAAGGTCTACATTATAACAATTCCAGTAACACTGTTGCCAGCTTAAGTAGCTACTAATATGTTCAAATGTAGCTACAAATAGCCATGTCACACTAGTGATTTGCAGCTCAGCAGATGTATAATACCCAGCTGGAGTGGGAATTTTGTATGCAGTTCTAATTCACTATCAAAAATAAAGAAAGATTTGTAGCTGCTATAAAAATGTTTGTTTGACATGGCCTTAAAATCTTGCCTGGCTGTAGTGTGACATTGTATTCTTCACATTTCTTTCTTTTCCATATTAAAGATAATGCACCCTACCTTCCTCCACTATAGGTCTGGGTACAACAAATGGGATCTCTTGAATTGCTTCCATGTATTTGTGACCCGCACTCATGATCTTGATTTGTGGCAAGCAGACAACAAGGGTTCCTGGCATGGAGGTTTGGCCATGGTACCAGCTTCTTACAGTGCCTGGGATGTCACTAGATACAATGGTACTTGGTGATGGTAGACTGTCGCTGGGGAAGAATATGCAGCACGACTGGATCTCGACCTGGAATATAAATATAATGAAGGGTGAATTTTAGAAATTGTTCAGCATCCCTATATTTCAACATCTCCTGCTTTTACAAAGTGTAGAAGTAGTCTTTAATTTTCTCTAGTTCTGATTAAAACTTGGATTGTTTTTATACTTTTACACATACATAAAAATAAAGTAAACCAACTTATCTCATGTTTATTGTCCCAGAAAACATAGGGGGTTATTCATTAAAGAGCATGAAGGATCCAGCCGTAGATTCGGCTGATCCTACGGCTCTCTGCGGTCGCCTCTGCCCTTCTATTTAGTCGAATTGAAGGGCTGCTGTACGGGATATTTACAATAGCCGAAGGTGACCGAGCGGCTCAGCTGAGCCGAAGGCATATGCTTTGGCTCCACTGAACCGAAGCGACAGCCAAAGCGGGAGAATGGCCTGCTGTTCGGCCCGCAAATGACAGCTGGCTCCGCCCTATTGTAATGACAGATCAGCGTCCCCAAATCACCTGGGGATGCTGATCTTTCATTAAACAAAACCAGCTGGGCGGAGCCGGCCGTGACTACACAGCGAGTGCCACCCGGTTGTTATTTATTGGCCAGCCAAATGACGCTTTGTTCGGCTCTGCCCGTTTGTCATTAATTGGCCGGCACCTGCTAGAAGACTCTAGCAGGTGCTGGCCAATAGGAAACAGTTGGGTGAAGCTAGCTGTCATCGCTAGTTCCACCCTTTTTTTTTTTCCATTTTACTATCTGTTTACATTTTTTAAATACTTTTTTCAACTATTTTTTTTTCCATTAATTTAACTGTTTTGCTATTCAGCTCGGTACCTCGGAGGTAAAAATTTGCCATTTACAGAAGGAGTGGAGGAAATCCTGGGAAGGTGCATTGTGGAGGAACTTTGGCTGGAGGCGCCATTGAAGCTAGAATTTGGCTTTTACCTCAAAGCTTGCTGGCTTACCCAGGGAGTTTGAGCTGCACCTACTCTACAACCAGGTGCTCAAAAATCACAGGTCTGGCTTCAAAGATCTTTACCAGTGAAGGCTGTGAGTATGATTTTACTGGCATCTTCCTCTCGATGAGTTTACAGTGGCAAATTAACTCTAAACTTTGATTCTAAAGTGTTTGGCACTCATCTGTTCACAACCTCACTACTAGTCAAGGGCTCTAGCATAAGGTAAATAGTCAGCCCACCTGACCTCTGGGGGAACCTAATAGCCTACAGAAGGTAAGGGGGTGCTACTTTGGCAAACAATATGCACTGCAGAGAACAAATGATTCTAAGTAGAAATCTTTAAGAAAAACATGGAAAGATTCTATTTTCGTGAAAATGATCACTGGAATGTACTCAAATCCTACACATAAAAGACGCTATGTTTTCATTTCATGTTCCCAGTTATGAAAACTCTGACATTTGCGCTCTACAAAAGAGGTCCATAAGTAACAGCCATGTGTGTATAATGAAAAATCTATCCACCTTTCCACAAGTCAATCCAAGGAAATACGACTGCTCTGCAGCTCGCCTTGGCACATCGGGTGAGAAAATCCTCTTGTTTGCAGTTCATTACCTTTACACCAGACAGAACACTGCTACTGCTATCCATGGACTGCAATATACTAGGCTGATAAGACCTTACACTTTACACATAAAGGAGAAAGCATGGTTCATTTCCAGGAAGGATTTGTTTCCAACTTTTTGTGGCATGATACATGGCAACTTCAGGCAACAAGTAAAATAAACCTGTCACCTGCTAATGCCACCCAGAAAACACAGTAAATGTCAGAGGGTCTAATTCTAGTGCACATGAATGAACATTTGTATTCTCTATACTTCATTCACACAAAAGTTGATCTGGTCCTGATAGCACCACACAGATCACTTCAAAGTCATGTATTGTTAAGCTTGGCCTACACAGGTTTACAGGTTGGCCGGACAAAGCCTTCAAAACTATGCTGACGATTAGTCAGAAAACTAAAAACTGTAGCCCCAGAAGCTCTGTAGGTACTAAAGAAAACTTGCTGGAAGAAAATTACCTTGATAAAAAGAAAAGCAAGTAGTGTATCTCAGTGCAGAGAAAAAAGTCCTCTCATAGGACACTAGAAAAAAACAGTGTTGCTGGGAGGGAATCATCTGAACTGTGCTTACAGTTTTGTTTTGCCAGTGTCCAATCTCTTGAAGGCAGCATAACCCTATGTTGCTGAATATTGTACTGTCAAGTATTGTATGATTAAGAAAATATTGTTTTCTGGCAACTGTTTGGGGTTAATACCTAAAAATGAATTCCTTTTTTTTTTTAATGCCTTTAATTTATATTTTCTTCCACGCTTACATGCACGTCCAGCAGTTCAGCAAAGGTGACTATTTTGGGGGAAAAAAACAAAACACATGCCAGGGTGCTTTCAATTCCAAGGTTTATTGATACCGTTTAAACCTTTTAAAACACTATAACTGCTTAAAGTAACACTAAACTCAGGAATTAAATGTTAAAAATGCATTCAAGTACCTTAACTATTAACATAAATGTATCTTATTTGTGTATCACTCGGCTGTAGATCCTCAAATCATCTCTGAATTGGGGCCGACACTGGCCTTCCCTCTGGAGGGTGGCTACTTTTGTTCCCCATGGTCCCTGTGTGTGTTCTAAAGTAGCCACCGCTCCAAGCTCACTGAACTACAGTCTCAATACAAATTAGTAAACTAAATGTGATATCTTAGTCCATCATGGGAGTGAGCTTGGAGCGGTGGCTACTTTACAACACACACAGGGACCATGGGGAACAAAAGTAGCCACCCGCTAGAAGGAAGGACAGTGTCAGCATGAATTTCGAGATAATTGAGGATCTACATCCAAGTGATACACAAATAAGATACATTTATGTTAATAGTTAAGGTACTTGAATGCATTTTTAACATCTAACTCTTGAGTTTGGTGTCACTTTAAAAAAATGTTAGATAGATTAAGGCCTTCATTTGTCACTTATTACTACATCCAAAATTAATCTGTTTATAGCCATGGTTCTCAACTGGTGGGTCATGACCCAAAAGTGAGGTACAACCCCCTGTTCCCGTTCAGTGGGTAGCCTATTGCATGTTGGACACTGACAGGACCAAGCACTGGCTGCAAACAAATAGTAAACCTCTTCAGTAATATTTAAGACCTATTCACAGCTGAGAGGGAGCAACCCCGATAAATCAAGAGAATGAGATGAAAAGATGTTTTGAGGTTAAGACTGCTAAACTTTGTTTCTAGGCTTGGAATTGTGGTTGAGATCTCCTATAAGATTGTGGGTTATATTTCCTTCCACAACTTAAGATTTAGGGCTTAGATGGAAAGTGGCTTAATCAACATGTTCTGCAGTTTGCGAAACTGCTGCTTTCTAAAACGACTTTCCCGTTAACCTTATGTGGGGAGTTTAGATGAAGGGTCTTTATCACAAAAAAAAAAAAATCATCTAAATCAGGAAGGGACTACACACAATGTTGTGCAATTTAAAATGTAATTATAAACATTAGTTGTATTTGTGTGTTGGATCTGGCGGCAAAGTAATGGGGGCGGGGTTTAATTGAGGCTGTAGTCATGTGCAGTGGTGTATTTTGGTTTTGTGCTGCCCTAGGCAAGACTAAATCCGAGCGCCCTCCCATCCCTAATCTAAATTAGTCCCACCCCTTCCTGTTTATTACATTTTGAATAACCTGTCAGTCGCAGGATACATTGCGCACGGTTCTGACAGGTTGCGATATCAACCTAGCGGGACGCTCTAGTTCTACCTTTGCAATAGCCACCTTCTCCATTTCTGGCTTGATGGGCTCCCTAGTTCTGCAGCTACAATAACCATTCTCTCATGTCCTGCCATGCTGTGCTAGTCTCTAGTTCTGCAGCTGCAAAACCGATCATCTGCCTTAATATGCTGGGCTGTCTATCTTCTGCCTTGGACGCTGGGCTCTGTAGCTTGCCCCGCTCTAGAGATATAACCCTGCACAGAGCTTTTAGGCTGCACTTCCCCGGACTCACCACAACGGGGGTGCCGATGAGCATGATAACCATCTGGATCTCAACCCTGGGGTCCTGCGGAAGCTCCTCCGCTGCCTGGAGTAAGAGATTTGGGTGCTGGTTTCCCAGGGAGGTCCAGCGCACAAACTGCCAATGCAACCGGACGAAAGTCACACACACCAATACATTGCCTAGCCGGGAAGAGGAAGGGGCTGCAGCCGCCATATATGTAGGCAGCATTAGTGGACAAGTTGGTCTCCCAGTCAAAGAAGCACAAGGTCCAGGAGTACTGGCAGTAATTTATGAATATTGTATAATATAAAAAAAA